AGAATTAACATATAGCAATATATATAACTATTCAATCACAATTGAGTTTATCTTACTTTTTTCTGTTAAATGCTACTACACTGTGTGTCTGTACTATTATATCTTCTTTATCTGTTGAAAACTTTGATTCAGAAAGAGAACCCTTAACCCTAAACAAATTATAAACACGTTTTAAGATTTAAAAATAACTGAGAAAATTAACCTCACCAGATTGGACTGTAGATTTCTATATATGGATATTTATTTAATGTTGTAGAGAACGCAGTGCTGGTCTTGAATTATTTAATGTTGCAGAGAACGCAATGCTGGTCTTGAATTATTTAATGTTGCAGAGAACGCAGTGCTGGTCTTGAATTATTTAATGTTGCAGAGAACGCAATGCTGGTCTTGAATTATTTAATGTTGCAGAGAACGCAGTGCTGGTCTTGAATTATTTAATGTTGTAGAGAACGCAGTGCTGGTCTTGAATTATTTAATGTTGCAGAGAACGCAATGCTGGTCTTGAATTATTTAATGTTGCAGAGAACGCAATGCTGGTCTTGAATTATTTAATGTTGCAGAGAACGCAGTGCTGGTCTTGGAAAGAGCGAGAGACAAAAGAGTGAATGTATTTTATCTTAAATATTATTTTTAGCTCACCCGTGGGAGACACCTGAAAGCCTTAGATCCCAAGTAGTAGCTTGTTATGCTTGTGCTTAATGTCAGTATTGAAAGGCCTTTAAAGACTTTATATATGTGACAAGGTTTAGGTAATGAAAAATCGGGGCCGATTTTAGCCAGGGTGTCTGGTTCCCCGAACTTGTCGTTGGCCTTCAAACTAATGCCGTTCAGTGATCTAATTTTAGATTTGGCTCCATTTTATGTTTCAATGGTCCCACACCCAGTTTAAGTAAAGCGGGATTCCGGAACTGTGAATAATTATGCTTGTAATTTTCGAATAAATGGCAAACAATCGTCTATCTGTGAATGTGAGGAAAGTCATTCGAATAGCTATAATAACAAAACATCGAATACAAGCTGTCGGTATCAATGGGGTATGCAGATTTTATTAGTTTCTTTTTACCAGAATTTATGTTAAAATTAATGTGTCAAACTAAAGTTATTATAACAACAAAGTCCCTTGGCAACATTGACGTCGATGTCTTTGGTAATTTTATTTCACAACTATGTCCCCGCAGATGTATAATATAGTGGGTACCCAAGTTTATTTTTGTACTTGCAGACAGTCTGTCGACATTAATGTGATTGGAACGAGACGAGTTCTGCAACTTTGTCGCAAGATGGAGCACTTGTCGGTAAGTTTGCATATTTTGTAAAACGTTGCTATCTGACTGCCTGTTAATTTCTTTCTCTCTCTCCCTCTGTATTAATTTCGAAAAAGAAATATACGTAAGTTTCAAAACTGATAAAATAAACATTATTGTTACAACCCTCGAATATTAGGCAGTCACCTCATTGTAAAGATGTCGTATGCGAGATAATAGAAACTTCAGGGTTACGGTGAATGTCGACAGTTAGTGTATAATCGAACAAAGAAACTATATCTATATATACTATCACTATCAAATTAAATGTAGTTACAAATTTGTAAATTGTTGTATGCGAGATAATAGAAACTTCAGGGTTACGGTGAATGTCGACAGTTAGTGTATAATCGAACAAAGAAACTATATCTATATATACTATCACTATCAAATTAAATGTAGTCACAAATTTGTAAATTGTTGTATGCGAGATAGGAGAAACCATGTAGGGCACGGTAAATGTAGAAACTATATCTATATATACTATCACTATCAAATTAAATGTAGTCACAAATTTGTAAATTGTTGTATGCGAGATAGGAGAAACCATGTAGGGCACGGTAAATGTAGAAACTATATCTATTGTCGCTATCAAATGATAAATATTCAGAAACTTAGGAGTTACTCTGACATTTCTTTTAGTAACGGAAAGCCTTTTCTCTAATATCCTGTAGTCTTTAGGCATTCTGAAACAACAAAAAAGTCAGAGAAGCGGGAAAATGCATTCGTGAGTATCGAGAACCTTTTTCCTTCAATATCTTATAAAAAGAAATATAGTTAAAACTGCATAGGCGACAAAGCTATCGAAACTAAGAATAGGTTGAACGATCGCCGAGCTTTTGTTATATTTTTGTTTAAAGAAGAATGAAGTTTTGAGCTAGAGCTCTTCTTCAGATCGTTGAAGCTGTTGGATCTGACGAAGAACGCTAGCTCGAAACGTCATCTGAAAAAATATAACAAAAACTTAGTAATTGTTCAACCCATTCTCTAACTTCAATATTTTAAGACAAGTTAGGCTTAACGAATTTCTAAAGGAAAAGGTCAAGTAGGTATTTAAACAGTTGCTATTAATGATTTATAAACAAAGATAGAGGGTTGAAAGATAAGAACTAATAAAAATTTTAATGTTTATTTTACTTTAGTATCAACTCTATATTTGGATTCATTTTGTCACACAGTTCAAATTGATATAACAGGTGTTGTTTACAAGACTCATATCAAGACAAGAACAAATTAAACGAATTGTTATTATCTACAAAATCTTCCGTTGAGCTCAAAACTATATACTTTTAATACTAAGCTAATCGTTGTTTTTGTTGCGTGAGTGAAATACTTATATAAACTGCATTTCACTGATTTCGTTTCTACTTTTTCAAAAGGATCATCGATGATATCGAAACGTCGGGCGTTGGGAATCATTAATATTTTGCTACTAGACCGACGTGGACGCCTTGGGGGCGTTATAATGTGACGGTCAATCCCACTATTCGTTGGTAAAAGAGTAGCCCAAGAGTTGGCGGTGGGTGGTGATGA